CCCAGCAAGCAGGGCAGTGTTTCTGCTCTTGACCAGGTGACAAAAGGCCAATCTCTGCAGAGGTCATTAAGGAGAACAGCAGGTGTTGCCAGTTTCCTATGCAAAGCAAATTGCAAATTAGTTTTCCACTTTCTACTAAATTGAGGGGGACTCTCATCATCCTCCTTTTGATTGTTGTACTTTGGGAACATAAGCAGTACTTACACACTTGTTCTTTAAAAGAGATGCAGCAATTGTATGTTTATGTACTTATGAGAAAAACTGCAAGTTTAGTGCTTTACTCATTTTTGTTTGACCAGTGACATTTAATCCTAGTGAAGCAGCAAGCTCTGCTTTCAGTGCTTTCCCTGGTAAAGGTCACTCTGCTACAGTGCTGCATTCACCAACTCTAAAGTAGCTTTTATCAGCTGTGGTGCCATGTGCCAGTGTTCCCAGTGTTCCCAGACTGCTGGCTTAGCTTATTTTCTTTCAACAGCTGTGGAAAATATCTAAAAAACAAAGGCAATAGCGATTCCATTTTTATATAAAAGTGGTTGATAGGAAATTAGATTTATAGAGTTGCTGAAGGTAGATGTTGTATTCTGATCCTTTACTTTTAAACCTCCATTAATATACAGCTTGATTTGTTTATTTTACTGTTTAGAATTTGGTTAGATTGAATTGGCAGAGAATTTTAGTATGTAGGACTTAGTTTATAGACCTAGCTGTGAGCCCAGGCAGCCAGTGAGCTGAGCTGGACATTTCCTTGCATTAGAGGTGCATATGAATGGTGTAGAAATACCTGTAGCACTGGCTTCTGGAACAATCCCTTACAGCTTATTGGCAACAAAGTAGGAACCACCAGTGACCAGGAAAGTCCTTGGACAATTTCAGCTCAAGAGGTCACAAAAGTGACACAAAAATTGCCTTTGGTCCCCTTTCCCCCCTTTCTGTTGCCTCATTAAGGAAGGCTGAACTTAGAGATTTTCAGAAGCATATCTCATGCAACACAAATATTCTGCAGGCAGCCTTGTATCTAAAGTAAATACATTCTGAAACAGATAAAGGGAAATGGGTTTCTGAGGGAAACAGCATTTACAAATGCTGTTTGTAAATAGATGTTTGAGGGATACACCCTCAATATCTGCTTGACTTCATAGAGGGCCTGGTCCCTTCTTGTCCAATAGATGCCTGCCTGTTCCCCAGAGCATACTGGTGGTTGCCATGGGCTTCACTGGGAGATACTGGTATTCTGCTGGTGAGGAAAGCAAAAGCCTTGGTCTTTTCAAGATGTAAAACATCAATCATTTTCCAAAATTTACTTTTGAATAGTGCTTTGAAATTCACTAGTAGGACTGCTCATCTTTGAGGAAGGCTGTAGGTAATTCAGTTCCTTTCCATCATCCTTTCCAGTTTGTGTACAGGCAGGAGCTGAACAGCAGCATTTCTACCTTACACGTTCTGCAATGGTTCCTCATCTTTATAATGTACACATTTGTTTTCTCAGAAGTTTCCCCTGTACATCGTACACTTGAAGAGTGTATGATGACACTTGAAAAGTGTATGATGTTGGACTCCAAGCAGAAGGAGCACTGGTCTCCCTTCCTGCTGGTAGTGAGAGAGAGAGTAAATAGGACTGGTCAGACCAGATTTTTGGAGAGGAATTGCCACTGCAATTGCAACTACACCAGTTCTAAGCAGGACATGCCTGTAAACACGTACTGAAGGTTAACTGGAGGTTAATTTTTAGTTCTGACTTAGAGATCACAGCCACCAGTTCAGACAGGGCTTCAGCAGGTTTATAACAGTCTTTTTCATGGCCAGTTCCTAAATCCAAGCATTTTGGGATAGGACCATCTATAACCAGAGTATTTTGCATACAGAAATCCTACAGAGCCACATCTACTTTGTCCTGTTTGAACTCATATGTGTGGAAGGGGAAAGAGCAGAGGACATGAGTTATGATCAGACCATGTTTTTTTTAAAGATGCCAAGTCCATCATTTTCGTGATCCTTTTTCCTGCATGCAAGTACTTTTCCATGGATCAAAGGGCATCTGAGAGGCAGCTTACAAATTAGAAACAGTCAGAAAGTGTAAACTGAAAGTTTGAACTGAATGCATCATATCAAAACCTGAATATAGGAGAGGTATTTTATTATTGTTTTAATTTTGATTGCTGTCTTTCTGTTTTGTACCTCAGCAAAGTAATAACAGGAGCTCAGTGTTGCCTTCAGAGCTACATAGTGGTTCATAAATAGACCCATTTAGTGTTATTTTGTTACATGATCTTTTGTGAGTGCAGTTAGTTTGGAATTCATTGTGGCATTTACCTCTATATGTGCATCTAGACACAAGACTACCAAAATACCAAAAGGACTGGAGCTGCTGGCCAGGCTTAATAAGAGGGAGAAGTAGGATGAATTCTATGGCTTGATAAAGACAATGATTGTAAAAATTCAGCTTTTTCTAAAATCCATTCTACAGTTCTCTACTTCTGAGCTCAGTAGAATGTTAAGATGGCTACCTGACCTAAATCATATCCACAACTGGTATATTTTGTGTGAGACTGTGGAAAGTAAGGGACCAATGTTTGAGCTTTCATAGTTGATGGATGTTAAAAGTGTGCAGAGCCATTCAAAAAGGAAGACAGCTGGAAGGGTGCCTGAGAACAGGGGTGCAAAGAGAGATGAACACCAGTGATCACAAAAAACACTAGGAAGGAGAGGATGGGTGGGAGACATCTCAGAACAGGGGGGCAAAGAGAGATGAACACCAGTGATCACAAAAAACTAGGAAGGAGAGGATGGGTGAGAGACATCTCAGGGGATTGGGTAGAGTACAGACAAATTGATGGAAAATGATGGCACTGAGGAAAGGACAGGGGAGAGGATGGCAATAGAATGGAGAAAGGGCCAGGGAGCAGTGAAGGTAAGACAATATGTGCACTCCAGGTAGCTCTACTGAGGAAGGGGAAAGTGGAGTTTCTGTTCAGCAGTGGTGCACATTTTGGTCTGTTCCCTTAAAACTGAATTTTGAATAGGAAATCAGTAGTTAGACTGTATATTCAACTCACAAAAATAATAAGTAGTAAATAATTTTTTGGGGCTTTAGGTGCTTCTTATGCACTTATCTGAAACAGGCCAGCTTCTGCAGGGATGCTGGTGGGTCTTGCCTGCAGACACAGGAGAACAAATTGTTTCCTATGCCTACATTTACACTACAGAAACAAATGTTATTAAAAATAGAGATACCAAAACATGCCTTAAGTTACATGTCAGTATCTGTGTACCAGCATCACAGCCAACATTCATGCAAATTAATCAAACTTTCCAGGAAATATGGCAAAATGCATTATTTAGTTTACAGATATGGAAAAGTTTCTTTGAAATGCAAAAAGGCAGCATGTGTGATTGGTTTATGTCCTTACTCACCAAGCCAAATGTACAAAAAACAGATCTTCATTCTCAGTAGATTGTAGAGTATAAGGCCCCAGCATGGATGTGCTTGAAATGAGGTTCAGCAGGAAGTTTGAAACCAGAGTATTCTTCTCTAATTTCAAAATTCTAGGATGTGAAGATGATGTGTTCAGCTTCTGAGCTATGTGATATAAAAATAATACAAAATAAGTACATCGTTGCAAGTTTCAAATTCCAGTAGCTGTGGATGTTGATACCCTAAAATTTCAATACTAAAACTGCATACAACACATTACTTGTAAGGGACTCTGAGAAAACATCAGCAAAGTCTTGCATTAATACATAGTTCAATTAAGATGAACAATAAAATCAGAACATTTTTAGAAACAGTGTAACAGTCTGTTGATTCTGGTCAGAGAACACAGCATTACAAACATCACATCCCCACGCTGGGTTTCTGGGGCTATGGTCAAGGCAGAGAATGTGAGAGAAATTGGAACTCCATAGCACCAAATCTGTTGCTGCTTTTAGCTGAGGCAAGGTGCTTCTAACCAGATTATCAGTGGGATCTTGCCATGAAACAGGAAAGGAAATGTTCTAAACTAATTGTTACAGCCCTGAAGCAGAAATTCAGATTTTCCCCCCCACCAGTGTAATATCTTTCACAAGCTGGTGAACTTGGAACAAAAAAAAAGTGAGTTTATGGGGTATGGGCCATGATTTTATAAAAGAACTCTTTATTTCCATGTAACCCCAGCTGTGCAGAAAAGTGCTGATTACATGGTAGTATTTAAGTTTAGTAAGAAATTTCTTGCCTGAAATCAATTTTGATACCAAGTAGAGTGGCTAATATACCCTGGTTTAAACCTTTTACTTTTAAGCAATCTGTTTTTCAGTTGAACAATGTCTAAAATTAAAAGAGTACTTTCTTTTATTGTTAACATTTATAAGTGAATTTGAGATCTCTTCTCAAAGGACATGCCATGTTTTTACTACAACAGCTTCCTTCTGTATGCTTTTAACTGTCTCCTAGTGTTTATTAAAAATAAAAAATCAAATCCAGTCACACATATCAGCTAATAGATTCTTGTGAAGGTCCTAATTCATCAGCACATTTTTGATGCACTCCTAAGTGTTTTGCTGACGTAAGCCAAGGTTCAAGAGGTGTATAACTGGATCCTAATGCTAATTAAATTTCTTTGGCTTTATTATGTGCACAGATTTAATGGATGATACAACACAAAGCTGTGACTGAGAGTGGAAGTTGTTTTGGTTATATACCCATGAGTCAAGGAATTGTAAACTTTTCCTCCATAGAAATAACTGTGCCATCTCAGAAGTCTTTTCCTCCTTCATAACATGTAAAGAAATATGGTATTTTTGTAAAGAAATATGGTATTTTTAATATGGTATTATTTGGTACTTTGAAATAATGTGTTTTGTTTGCCCCTCCCATTTTTTCATATTCACCTGCCTTTTCTGGGTTTTTTAAAATATTTTTTGAAATTTATTTTTTGTATAAATGTCATGTTAAATGCATATACACTTAATTCTTTACTGTATGAAAAAACTCATTACTTACTTTTGTGTTTCATCTCTTTTAGATATTGTGCAATGGACCAGGAACATGTGTTCCTGTCTGTTTATCTGCTTTTCTGCTTGGCCTTCTACGAATAAAGAGAACAGTTATTGTGTATGTAGAGAGCATCTGCCGTGTGGAAACTTTATCCTTGTCTGGAAAGATTCTTTACTACTTTTCAGATTATTTCATTGTTCAGTGGCCTGATCTAAAGAAAAAATATCCCAAGTCAGTGTATCTTGGTCGAATAGTGTAACAACACTAGACAAGCTAAACTTTACCTGAAATAGACTCTACAAGCTCCTCACTTGCATTCCTGTAGTAATTTATTTTCAAGAATTCCTGTTACAAAATCAGGCTGGTACTTTAAAATGAGACAAAAAAGTTCTCTACGTTTAAGTAAAATTTGTGTGTATTTGTATTTATTGCTGTCGTGTAGTTCTGTTTGCCAATAACTCACAGTGGCTCTAAGTCTATCCTGTCTCTGTTTTCATCTAGTTTTTCTGCTATGTGAATGGTAATTTTTGTCTACAAATAAATATGGGAATTTGTATGAATGTAACATTTCCTGTAAGGAAACTTTGTGTCATTTTTAAGATTGTAAGCAACAAAGTCTTTTTCTAGCACAACAGATTTTATTTGCTTTATTCTAGTGGTGAAGTCCCTTGTGAATCCTTAGAGTATAAAGGAAACAGTTATATTAAGTTGGCTTCATGACAGTTTGTACTTCACAGTCTTCCAAAACCCCCAGAGCATTAAACCAGTATCATTTTTCCTCTGGTCTTGTCAAAGCCATCCTTATAATCTCTTGTGTACCTTTTGAAAATTGTTGCTCACTTCTTAAGATGAATAAAAAGGTGACAAGTGTGATGCTACAGGCACAATACTTACCCATTTAAGAAGACTTTCTTCAAAGCTTATGTGCAAAAAGCCTTAGCAAATCTAAATCAAACAGAGCAAAACTGTCAGTTGGGGAAATTGAACTGGTTCAAACTCTGAAATAGAGAAAAAAACCCAATAATAAGGGAAAGAACAGAGTTTCCCTCTTTTCCTGATACAGTGAATTTGACTTCAAGTATATCCCGTTCTCTCATTTTAAGCACCTTACTTTGAACAGTACAATATATACTTAGGACTTTGCCATGAAAAATGTATCCTGTACATTGGAACAAGTTTTAAAAGATATCTTTTTGGCAGTAAGCATTTGAAAGCATACTCCAGCATTTCACATTTATCTGGCAAAGCGTAATTTTACAACTATCCCACCTATAAGGCAATGTAAACACATCTGTCATCTGTGCACACACAGAGCTATGTGGCTGGCTACAGAAACATAAACAAAGAAAAAAGCTCAGAGAAGAGGAGAAACGCCCTCCAGAGTGCACAGCCTGATTCTGGTGAAGCCCAAGGAGGAGACTCTGGGAAGGCTTTTCCTCAGCGTCAGATGTCAAAACATTGCAGCAGCTATTCTGGTAGGGAATGGGGGTGGAATTTAGCTCAATAGAAACAATAGTTCCTGCTGTTAGGAAACAAGGGTCCAGAGGAATAGGCTGCTTCATGCAGAAAACCATTAGAAATCATCAGAAGACATTGTGCAGAAAACTGCTGTCACGATATGGCAAGGCCCTGTGGGGAAGCCAGCTGTTGCAACCTGTCCAACAGGCTTAGTAATCCTCAGCACAAGTAGAGTCCCTTGATGTGGGCACATGTGAGAACAGGGAGTTTTGTGGGTTTTAACCAAGATTATGTCTGAAATCAAAGAGCAGTTAATAGGTTAAGGCTATGTGAGAAGGACTTTGTACAGCACATACTGAGGTCCTTGAAAATGACTTGGTTGAAGTAAATCTGATGTGTCCAAGGGCTTTTTTCCCCTGAACCAAAGTGAGGAGTATCTTATCATGACTTTTTGCACGGTTGCAGATAGTTTGAAAAGTTGGAGATACACTGGACTCTGTTATGGCTAATGGTAGTTTATTTTAGAACTAGAGTAGAGGGGAAGGGGGCAGAGGCAGCCTCTTCCTCTGCTCTGGGTACGGGGCAACAGCACAAGCTCAGAGTACTGGGCTTTAGAGAGGCCTGGGAAGAGCAGGGCGGTGAACGCTGCCATTGCTGCAGCACAGCCCGTGGCAGAACAACGTGCTGGGCTTTAGAGAGGCTTGGCAGGAGCAAGAGCAGTGCTGCCATTGCTGCAGCACATGGCCCAGCAGCGAGGCCGAGGCCTGCCCCCGGCACAGTCGGGCTCTGTTCCGAGCGGAGCAGGAGCGGCCCTGGGGGCCTGGTCCCGCTCAGGGTTTTTACCTCAGCGAAAGCATCCCTGGCCACTCCGTTACTCCCTCAGAGCCCTGCCCAGGGCAGGATTTGGGGTTTTGGTGTGCTTCCCAACTGTGGGTTCATAAACTTTGGAGTCTGCCTTTGAACACTGTGGAGTTCCAGGAATTTTTTTCACCTGTCACCTGCATGGCAATGACTACTGCTAAAAGAAAGAACTTGCCTGTTCAGACTTGTCACCTCCCATGTAAACACTCTGAAGGTAACAGTAGATTTCTTCACAAGAGGCTGTCCTGAAAAACTGAATTGCTCCAGGCTATCTGATGTGGAGGAGTCTCGTTTTCAAGGATTTGGGAAGAATTTTCCCACTTTTCTTCCCTGGCTGCCTTCTGAGGGAGCAAAGTTAAGAATATCTCAGCCTGTGGTCCCCCAATAGCATGTCATTTACTCTGGTAAACCTGGGAAACACAGATTAAAATAGCACATATAAAGTGGTTTTTAATGCAGATCGTTGGCTGTGAGGGTGTGGGATGGTACCCATTCCCTAGGACTGCTATTTTCCTAACTGGCTCAAGTGCCTACTTGAATTAAGGGCATTTACTTTTCAGCAGTTTATAATTAGTTCTAGCAAGTGAAAAAACTTGGATTAGAAATGACCTAGAAGTCTCTAGAGTTGAAGCAGGTAGAACCGAAATGGGAAAATCACAGCCTAACTGACCAAAGCCTTCAGCAAAACACTGCATCACAGTCATAGGCGATAGTTCAGAAAAAAAGACTTGTGGCTCAAATTCTCTTAAAGGAAGTTCTGCTATCAACCCGAGTGACTTTTCCTTGAGAAGATTATCTCAAATAACTGCTAGTTCTCTCCAAAAGCACAGTGGAGCTGAAGTAAACTAGCATTTTGTTATTGAGAAGCTCTTTCTTATCTTTTGTTTTTAGAAGTGGGTACAACCAAACAGTCTATTGTTCTAGGGGAAAGCTGCATTCTTCCTCTCCCAGAACAGAACAGAAAACAGCCCTCCCAGGGTCTAGCTAAAGACTTGAAGGTCACTGACTGGATTCCTTAAGTTTAGATTCTTGGGGTTTGCTATGTCTTATTTTTTCTCTTAAACATTAATATTATGGCAAACACATTTGCATTACCTAAAAGGAATGTTTGATGTGAAATACATTACCTCTTTTTCTCCATCTCCAAAAGAGGAAACATATCTATAATATCTTATAGATTTGAAGCAAAATGAGGAAGAAATATATTCTTAAAGAAAACAAATATGACTTTATGGAAATATCATCATCACAATTGGCAAAGATTTTCAAAGAGAACAGAAGGCATCCAGAAACTCGTTCTCTGAGTCCTAGCATGGAAGCCAAATTCTAAATGAATTTTCTTTATCAGATTGTTTTATCTAGATATGCATTAGCTGACAAATACTAAATATTCAGGGTTACTTTACTTTGTTTAGTGCCAAGAAGCACCATCCAATTGAAGACATTTCTGCCCCACACTTCAGGAAAAAAGCACAGAAGACTCGCTGTCACCATTTCTCTCTAGCAACTGTGTCTCTTACATCTTCCGAGTGGAAATGAAGGGTTCTAACAGACTCTTGGTGGATGTCTCCATGGCTGTTCAAACACACAGCATGCACAGCGCTCGTGTTTCCTTCAGATCGTGTTTGTGCTTCCTTTGCAGGGCTTTGAGGGAGCTGCCTGCTCTCAGTACTCTGATAGCCTCTCCTTTGGCTGGCCCGTGCTGGCACCACGTGCTGTGCCAACAAACTCCTGCTTGTTCCAGGAGCCGGGTGAGGATCTAGGAAAGAAAGCATCGAGCCCTCAGGCTGCTCGCAGCACAAACTGAGCCCTAGACCTTTCTGAAACCTGAACTTGACTTTTCCAAAGACCATGCTTCCTGATATTTCCTGGTAGCATAATGGTAGTCTCATGACCAGTATTGTTGAAATCAATAGGAAGTACTCAGAGGCAGAGGTCATCTTGCATAAGCTGCTTGGTAAGAACCAGAATTTTGCACAAGAATTCAGGAAAACCAGTAGCTCTCACAGTAAGAGCTTTAGACGTTTTTCCTCTCCTTGCTGTTTCATGCTACAGTGGCAATGGAGAAGGAAATTAAAGTGGCATATGATACATGAGGAGGGACCTTTGTTGACATACTTATTTCAGCTCAGGTCACTATTCTGCAGAATATAAAATTTCCCATTTAGAATTTTTTGTATCTATTTTACTCCCTTGCCCAAAATGTTTTAGCATGTTTTATAATCCAGTTCATTAACTAGTCAGACATAAATATGCATGCAACAGAAATAAGCAATCTCACATTTAGCTGTGTCAAGGATAGGCTTTAAGCATGCATGCATCTATAAAAAGATGCATTTGTAGATTGATAATATAAGTTTTACACATACTTTGTGTTATTTTAATGTGTACCTGAGGAACAAAGATAAACAAGGTGTTTGATGTGTTTGTTATTCTCTAAACAAGAGACAGAGCAGGAATAATAATATTTAACAGACAAAAATGGGGGAAATGAGAGTCTCTCTGATGAATGTTTAATGTTTAAAAAAACTTATAACGCTTTATCAATTAAGATATTGTGCATATTAAACAAGTGCATTGTAAATTGATAAATTAATGAACAGTAGCACAGACATTAGTCCACTGTTCCACCCAGAATGTTTCATTTGCAGTTTGGAGTACCTTTTTTTCCTTTTTTTTTTTTTTTTTTTTTTTTTTTTTTTTTTTTTGAGGAAGTGTGCTGGGGATGTGGGTTTTTTAAATACAAAAGTCATGTATTGATGACTATGCAGGAGATGACCTGGATAGGACTGGGTTTAGGCAACTGCTCAAAGAGATTTTGTATAAACTTCAGAGGAAGAGAAAGAGCATATTCTTAGATGGATTAAATTGTCCTTGTACTATGCAGCAAACAATTTTTAAGGGAGTCCATTAAAAAGTCATAGCATTTTTTTTAATATTGTAACTTAAGAAGTATTTTAGACCCTACAGTGATGTTGCTGTGCATAATCCTAGTCATTCTATGCATCAGTGCACAATAGCTTCTTAAAATCAAAAAGCCCTCTCCTTGCTTTAAGAAAGAGTGGATATTTGTAAGGCTGTATCAACAGTCAGATCTGCTCAGTTAGCATTACGGTAAATTCAACTTTCAGCTGCCAGTAGCTTGGCAATTAGAGTTTCCTGCTTTATTGTTAAACACTGCAATTGAACTCTGCTGCTTTTCATTTGTGATCCAGCTTGGGATGTCAGCTGACACTGAAATGAATGTCCTAACCTCCAA